AGGGGTAGCAAGGGAGAAACCAACCTTTAGGTTTATAAATTAGGGGAACAGGGGGGGAACAGGGGAACAGGGGTAGCAAGGGAGAAACCAACCTTTAGGTTTATAAATTAGGGGAACAGGGGGGGTAACAGGGGAACAGGGGAACAGGGGTTGCAAGGGAGAAACCAACCTTGCTCACTATAAGTCAGTTCTGATGGTGTCCTGATGTTTTCCGTCCTTGCCCACTATAAAAATCAGATCTGATGGTGTCCTGATGGTTTTCGTCCTTGCTCACGATAAGTCAGATCTGATGATGTCCTAATGGTTTCGATCCTTGCTCACTATTAGTCAGTTCTTACGGGATCCTGATGGTTTCCGTCCTTGCTCACCATCAGTCACTTCTGACGGTATCTTGGTGGTTTCCGCAGTTGCTCAGAATATTTGGAAAACCATCCGCTCAGCCAAACATTCCATTGATTCTCTGACTCTCTGATCATTTAGGTTTTCTGAATGAAAACAAGGAAGTCCAAAACAAGATATCGATTCAAGAAACCCTCGCTGAACGCGCGATGACTCAGCATGGATTTCAAACTGAAATACCAAAGAAACACCGCCGGCAAAGTCCCCGCAAAAAGAGGTAAATAAAAACTAAGCCACACGCATACTAGTCAAGTGCATACTGGTCAAGTGACATGGTCTATCCCCGTCCTCGCAAAAGGGTACCCCTTGCTTAAAAACAAGATAGAAGCCACAAACCCGACTGCATTCACGATCTTAGTGTACGAGTGACTCTGCAATAGGACAACGAACCTTTCTTTTCATGCATAGTGCGCGCGTATCGTCTCAGCAATTCACCTGATCAACAATTCACAAAGAGACAAGTAACGCACAAAGACACGCATGGAAAACATCGCTTGGAGACAATACATATTTCCCGTGTTACCAGTCTCAGTGTGGAGTGGAAAGTGTAGAGTGTGGAGTATGGCGTGGAAAGTGTAGAGTGTGGACTGCAGACTGTAAAATAAGGAGTGTGCAGTGTCAAGCGGTACTAACTACTTCCTAGAAGTACTTGCACAAACTACTTCCCAGAAGTACTTTGTACTGCAACGCTGGCACAAAACACGTTCCAGTACTACTTTGTACTACAAAGCTTGCACGAAGCACTTTCCAGTACGACCGTGTACTACAAAGCTTGCACAAAGCACTTCCCTGCTGGTACTTTTTACTACAAAGCTTGCCCAAAGCACTTCCCAGTACTACCGTGTACTACAAAGCTTGCACAAAGCACTTCCCAGTACTACCGTGTACTACAAACCCAGTACTACTTTGTACTACAAAACTTACAAAACAGGTTCCAATACTACTTTGTACTACAAAGCTTGCAGGAAGTCGTTCCCAGTACTATGTACTACAAAGCTTGCAGAAAGTCGTTCCCAGTACTATGCACTACAAAATTTGCAGAAAGTCGTTCCCAGTACTACTTTCTACTACAAACTTTGCACAAATTACTTCCCAATACTACTGTGTACTACAAAACTTGCACAAAGTCCTTCCCAGTACTACTTTGTGCTACAAAGCTTGCACAAAGCACGTTCCAGTACTACTTTGAACTGCAAAGCTCGCACAAAGCACTTCCGAGTACGACTTTGTACTACAAAGCTTGCACAAAGCACGTTCCAGTACTACTTTGTACTACAAGACTTGCACAAAGCACCACCCAGTACGACTTTGTGCTACAACGCTTGCTTGCACAAAGCACTTCCCAGCACTACCATGTACTACAAAGCTTGCACAAAGCACTTCCGCAGCCGCTGCAGCAGGTCGGCGCAAAGAGCGCTTCACCATGAAGCGTAAAAATCCACAACAACCAAACAAGCTCTGTCTGACACGAACATATCATTCAACATGTCCCTATTAGTTTGATCCATTGAAATATATACGGATATGGTATTCAGTTCCGGAAAAAAACATCACTATGAAATTCGAAAACCTGTACAGAAGAAAGGCGTTGACATAATCCTTATGCATGTCAACATTGAGGTTCAGAGAGCCAAAAAGCATTCCAGCAAACCAAGGTTACAACCGGCGCACATGGAAAAAAACATGAGTTGCAATGTGTTTTTATTTCTGGAAACTGTTTCATCAATACTTCCGAGTGTCTATCGAGAGCAAGCGGACCCGAGAGAGGACAACATCGCGTAGCGCAGAGGACGCGTGGGAACACTAGTAGAGAAAGCAAGGAGTGACTGTGAATGCCGAACAATGAATAAGGTCAATTCCGGACCAGCAATGCCAGTTACTTACCACCAGTGTGCATGATGATGCTGATGACGAAGATGATTATGATTACATAATTATCATGATGATGATGATCATGGTGATGATGCTGACGACCACGTCGACCATGACGGTGTTGATGAGCATGATCATGGTGATGATGATGATGAAGAAGAAGATGCGGATGATCATGTCGACTATGACGGTGTTGATGAGCATGATGATGATGATGATGATGATGATGATGCTGATGATGCTGAAGATGATGAATATCATGAATGAAGGTGCATCACGTGCACAGGCGAGTCCGGCCATCACATGCACCAGCGAGCCAAAATCACGTGCACAGGCGAGGCGGTTACCACCCAATACATGCATGATTATATGCATGGGCTCTGCCCAAATGGTGTGCTGAACTGGGTATTTTTTTTTGTGGATCCAACCGCTTGCTTCCAGTGGTGTGGCTGAGATTTGGAAGGCACATGGCTTTGTGCAACTTTGGGCCCAGCCTGCCATTCACAAATGCAATTTGCAAAGGTTATTTCTGCCCAAAGCAGTGGAAGGCCACAAAAAAGCTGGGAAATTCAAATGCTCATCCTCAGAGATTCTGGGTCTGTACCAGGTGCTGGCACACTATGTCCAAATTTGCTGCTTGCCAATTGGCATTTGTCTTCTGGGGCCAACTTGCTCTTTGGCTTGGTGCAAAGTTTTGGATTATTGCCTATCCATCCCTGCTTTGGAAAAGCCTGACCACAAGCAATTGCTTTCATTTGTTGAAGCAGCATTGGAGGCAACTGTTGCAGCTGACTGGTCTGAAGACTTCGAGCCAAAGATGCACTGGTCACTTCATATTATAGTCAAAGTCTCCAGAGGCATGGCCAATTACCTGCATGCTGGACCATGGAAAGGAAGCACAAAGGCATTAGAAAACATGGTAATGTCTTGTGCAACACTACCCATTGGGAAACTTCTTTGATGAAGTCTGTCATTGCAGAGCACATCTGTACATTGGGTGAAGAGTCAAGATTGTTTAGAGAAGGCACCTGCCTACAAAATGCAAAGGGGGCCCCACAAAGAAGATGACGGCATTCCTATGCAATGCTGGCGTGGTTCCTGTGGGAATGCCGAGCTCTTGTTGTAAACTTTTTTCTGGGGCAACAATTACTTCTGGTGATGTTGTCTGTTTGCACAATGTGGATGGAGGCTCACCAGCTTTCAATGCAGCTCAAGAGCATTGCTTTTTGAAAGTCCCATGTGGTGATGTGGCCCTTGTCGAAAAATATTTGTTCCAGGAAATTTCAAACAAACAAAATGTTTCCAAATGGACAGTGGCGGTGCCCAGAAATCCGGGTCTTGCTTCTTTACAAGAAATCTCGTGTGCTGTCACTTACAATGCTGCCAAAGGCAGGGTGACATGCCTCACCCCTGCATTCTTGCAACTTTGAAGGGACATGCAATTTCCATCCACAGCAAATGTCTTTGGAAAACAAGCTTCGGTGGTATGCACAACAGCCGCAACGTTTTATTTTTACTAATCTTTCTGAAGCCTGCTGCAAAGCCAAGCGCTGGAAACACTTCAGCTGGGTTTCCGTGAGTTAAATGGCCACAAATCCTGTTGAACTTGACCTGGCTCTGCACCAAAGCCTCCCGGAACCTTCTCCGGAACCTTCACCAGAACCCTGTTGAACCTAACCTGGCTCTGCACCAAAGCCTCCCGGAACCTTCTCCGGAAACCCGGAGCCCTGGCTCTGCACCAAAGCCTCCCGGAACTTTATCCGGAACCCTGTTGAACCTACTACCAAAAGGCTCTGGAGGATTAAAAGGATTAAAAAGATTAAATCATTTAATCCTTTTAATCCTTTTAATCCTCCAAACCTCCCAGAATCCCAAGAAAAGCCCCGCAATTTAATTCTTTAAATCCTTTTAATCCTTTTAATCCTCCCAAAGGCTCTGGAGGATTAAAAGGATTAAAAGGATTAAATCATTTAATCCGTTTAATCCTTTTAATCCCCCAAAAGGCTCTGGAGGATTAAAAGGATTAAATGGATTTAAATATATTTCTCAAGGGCTTGGACCGGGAATTCCGGACCCCTGGAGGATTAAAAGGATTAAAAGGCTCTGGAGGATTAAAAGGATTAAACGGATTAAATCAGTTAATCCTTTTAATCCTTTTAATCCCCCAAAAGGCTCTGGAGGATTAAAAGGATTAAAAGGATTAAATAATTGAATTCTTTAAATCCTCTCAATTATCCAAAAGGCTCTAAAAATTATCAGAATTAACCGGAACAAAATGGTACCTAAAGGTCTCTCGATCATATATATATATATATATAATTATATATAATTATATAATATATACATATATCTATATATACATTGTGTGTGTCTAATTTTTCATCGAAACATCATGGAAAATCCAAATATTAATTATGTAAAATTATGTCCCCCTTTCATATACTGTAGCTTACAGTACTTGCCCACACTTTCGCGTCTTGGGTGGTGATTTCATGCGATTTCCCGTCTTTGCAATGCTTGCATGGCTGTCACTTCAAAATTGCCACGCTTACCCTCTGGTAATTTAACATAATTATGGAAAATCACCATTTTTCATGGGTAAATCAACTATAAATGGCCATTTTCAATAGCTATGTTGGCTATGTTAGTTTACCAGAGGATATTTACAATCAATATCAATATCAATATCGACCCGTTATATCCCCCGGCCATGATTCCCATACCCGCACCCTCCAGGATGTCGACAATGTCGAGTCTCCACCAAACCAGAGCACAGGCATCGGGTGCATGGCTGCCATGGCTGCCATCAATTTGGGTATGTCAAAGACATTTGGGTCATGGTTTGTGGGATCCACGAAATGCCATAAACATATGATATAATATAAATTATATATATATATGAATATACCATTTGAGGATGGTTTATACAACATTCAACCCATTTCTGGTCATCTTGGGCATGTCGGGTTTACCACGCGCCATCCTGGGGCAAAAACCCCGTTTCCTGGCCAAGCCAAACGGCTGTTTTTCATAAAACAGGGACGCTAGCATTTCAGTAGCCACAAGTACTAGCAACCACCATTCATCAACCAGGGGCAAAATCCGGAACAATGGCGATATTTGGAGCGATGATCCAGCGGATGTTCTGCCGAACTCCGCGATCCGCGAAACGCGGACGGCTCCTTTGAGCCGAACATCGCGGCTAAAGGTGCTGCAGGAAGTGAGCGAAAGATTCAGAAAGATGTTTTTGTTGGCAGTAATGATGGGTTTTTCTGGTAGATACATCGAACAAAAAATCCGAAGTGATTTTTTTAGAAACCAACTTCTGGGGGCACAAACCCACCTATGGATTTCTTATGATGGGTACTTGGTGGCTCATCCCACTGCTCGTAAGTGGGTTATAACCCCAGTTAGAAGTGGATTAACCCTACTTATCCCATTTATAACTGGGGTTGTAACCCACTTACTAAGTGGGATGAACCACCAAGTATAGAAATCCACGCCATAATGGATGTCCGATCGGTACGAAAAAAGCCCTGAAAAAATAGATTGATGATCATCCTTCAATATGAATTGTGATGATAGGAGCTTAGTAATATTGTCCATAATGGAAAGTATTGACCAGAAGTCAATAGTTGTTCATTATCATAGTATTTCTATAGAACAACTATGGATAATGGATACCATTTATTTCCATAATATAAATGTCCATAGTTTTTCTATAGAAATCTATACGCTTCAATTAACGTCATCCATCTGACGATCATGATGATCCCAAAGACAGCTTAAGCTGACAAAAATCTGTCGAATCTGCGCCCTGTTTTTTTAATGGTTTATATATGTCTAAGATATGATAATTGGATATCACCAATAAATGGTTATCATGTTCTTAATAATTACCCTCCGGTAAATTAACATAGCTATTGAACATGGCCATTGAAATAGTGAGTTTTCCCATCAAAAATTGTGATTTTCCATAGTTATGCAACAGTTTACCAGAGGTTATATCCCATTAAATCCCATTAAATCCCATTAAACCACCATTTTCCTATGGTTTTCCTATGGTTTTCCCATGGTAGATACACCCATTAATCTTAATCCAATGATACACCCATGATTTTGTTCACGCTTTCCGAATCCTTGGATTTCATGGCGCCTTTAGAAAGTTTTCTCATCAGTTTCCCATGTCAAAGGACTATTTTGGGGTATACACCATAGGAAAACCATAGGAAAATGGTGGTTTAATGGGATTTAATGGGAGTTACCCTCTTGTAATTTGTTACACAACGATGGAAAATCACCATTTATAAGTGAATTGTCCCATTAATAGCATGGTGATGTTCCATCGTTATGTGAAAGTTTACCAGAGGGTACCCCATTTTCAGACACATACCCTCTGGTAAACTAACATAACTATGGAAAATCACCATGCTATTAATGGGAAAACTCACTATAAATCACCATTTTCAATAACTATTTTGACATAACCAGAGGGTAAATCCCATTAAATCCCATTAAACCACCATTTTCCTATGGTTTTCCTATGGTTTATAAAGGTTTATAAGCCTTATTAAGTGTAGATGTATCTTCCTGTTGAAAAAATACCCTGGGATTCCCATCGCGTTTGAAAAATTCCGCACCTTGGGCGATGGAACGAAAGAGACAGTTCCCATCGCCAGACACAGAAATGACACCTGGCAGTATCATGGAGGTGTGGGGTAATGTGGATCCATGGGATGTGTTTTCATGTATAAAAAAAATGGATTTATTGCATATTTAAATGTGAAATATGATAGATAGGCTTACCATATATATAGTTACCATATATATTTAGCCATCTATAGATAGTAACTATTGGTACCGTAAATGTCGTTATAATTTACCCAGGTAAATGTTACTTTGATGGAATGAGGCAACATGGCCTCCTGTTTAGCTAACTTCGTGCAAAAAGTTCTTCAAGTGCTGGGTGTATGGTAGAGATATCATGATACAGTATATCTATCTGGGTAAATTATAATATTTCACTAACCTGAATAGTTCGGCCATAGAAGGGGATGATTCCCCGAATCCTAACCATGAATTCCAGGGCTCGAGAGGACAGGGTTCGGTCGTGATGAAATTTACCCATAGTTTGATAGATGAACATAAAGTACCCTCTGGTAAACTAACATAACTATGGAAAATCACCATGCTATTTATGGGAAAATCCACTATAAATGGCCATTTTCCATAGCTACGTTAAATTACCAGAGGGTATATCCCATTAAATCCCATTAAACCACCATTTTCCTATGGTTTTCCTATGGTTTTCCAGAGGGTAACTTACAACTGGGGGTACCACATAAAGTGCTACCCTTGAGAAGTTACCCCAGCCTCAGGGGATCCGGGGGTTGGGGATTTCCACTACCCTCTGGTAAACGTTTACAGTTTGCGAACTGGAAAATGGCCATAAAAATAGTTGATTTACGTACCCATTAATAGCATGGTGATTTTCCATCGTTTTTTGTATGTTTACCCATTAATAATGTTGATTTACCTATTTTCATTGCATGGTGATGTTCCATCGTTATGTGAGTTCGTTTACCAGAGGTTATATCTAAATCCCATTAAATCCCATTAAACGACCATTTTCCTATGGTTTTCCTATGGTTTTCCTATGGTTTTCGGTGTGAGGATCATTGCCACTGGGTACCAGTCCACAAAAGGCTCCATTTTTGGTGAAGAATTTTGACCCAGACCGAGTCACCCGCGAACCCAGGAATCCTACGGAGTGCTTAGTTCACCCTGGTTTTCTCAGTGAACCAAGCCTACTTACCCTCTGGTAAACTTTCACATAACTATGGAAAATCCAACCATTTTTAATGGGTAAATCCACTATAAATGGTCCATTTTCAATAGCTACGTTAAATTACCAGAGGGTAGCCTACTTAGAACTGCTAACCAACTTGCCAAGTAGGACGAGCCACCAGGAATCCTCTACAGGATGGGGCCCCCGTTGTCGAGCGAGCTCGCGTGAACCGTTGGTGAACAGAAAAGTGGCTGAATAAACTATGGTTTATGGTAGATATTTCACGAACTAGTTACTAGGCTAGGGATTATTTCATGGTTTATAAACCAACTTATAACTGGGGGGGGCATCCTGTATTGTCGTTCAATGTTTCTGAATCGCTGGCACATAGTATCTTGCTGATTACACCCTCCTGCAGATTTGGATGGCATGTTGTATCCCCAAACAACATAATTTATGACCAATATTCACAATAATAATCTCTTTAACTATGAGAACAGTATCCCCAAACCTCTATGATTGATTCACAATAGTAGTTACCTCATACAGCTCATACATCATTGTCTGACAGATGAGGATCCTTCAAGTATGGGCAACTACCACTACCATGACTGTTGCGAAGGAATTGGCTACTTGACACGTCCTTTGGGACAGCGGGGCGGGTTGCGCCCTTTTTTTGTCACAACCAATGGAAAAAGCTGGCTGTAACATCTGCAGTGACATACCTGTCACAACCAAAAAGAGAAACCTCCATTCACTGAAGCAAGATCCGTTCAGCATGTGAAATTTCTGGAGGATGTTTACCTATTAAAAATCGTTGGTTACCAAAATTTTCCACATGGTGAGTCTCCAGTTCGCAAACTGTAAACGTTGACCTTTTTATGGAGCCATTTCCTCCAGATTGACATACCCTCTGGTAAACTTTCACATAACTATGGAAAATCCACCCATTTTTCATGGGAAAATCCACTAGAAATGGTGATTTTCCATCGTTGTGTAACAAATTACCAGAGGGTAACTCCCATTAAATCCCATTAAATCCCATTAAACCACCATTTTCCTATGGTTTTCCTATGAAACATTGATTTTCTGCCCGAAGTCCTCCAGATCTTCCAGCTCTTGGCAGATCCGAGGCACGATATTTGGGTCCAGTCAATGCCTTTGCTGCCTGAGGCGGCCACGGTTTTTATGGTGGAATTCTATGCACGGTTTAATGGTTGGTGTTAATATGGTTTAATGGTGATTATATAATGTTGAGTAATCATGGTGATTAATGATAATAGTTATATGGCTATGGGTCAATACCTATAGATACATTTTTAGTGGGTTATTCACATCCATTTTAACCCAGCTATTTTGATGTGAACAAAAAAGGGGTACAAGGTTTTGACACACTGCCAAATGATGATACCATCTGGTTATGACTAACAGTTTGTCATGGAATATCACTATGCTATTAATAGGTAAACCATCTATAAATGGAACATCTATACCATATTAAATAACCAGATGGTATGTTAAGAAATAGAAACTATCGTGTATCAATAAGCTCATGAATTAATATCATGGCTTATCAAATCATGGCTATTCTTATGATGAATCTGCAAATTCTGAGCCATGTATCACTATATACTCATATAAGATCATGAATCATGCCTCAAACTTTTGTCTTTCACTTCCGATTTTGGTACTTTTACCCATTTCTGTGGATAATGTTTTGTGTGCAGGTATTCAACATCTCAATTTGATCTGCCAATTGATGTTCCAGCAATGTTCTAACATTATCCCACTGTAAAGGGTTATAGCCCAGCTATTAACTGGTCAAGTAGTTGATGTGTCCATGAAATGGTTTCAAACATGTGGCTTCAAAAAACAAAATACCCCCCAACAATCGACTGATGAATCAATGCTCAGTCAAAATAGTTCAAAATGTCATCAGGATTTACTCAATTTCCATTGCAATCCCATATAAGCCCAGAATAATCAATGATCGAACCATTAGTTTCCGTA